TATATACACACACACACACATATATATACACACACACACACATATATATACACACACACACACATATATATACACACACACACACATATATATACACACACACACATTATTATATACTATTAACACATTAACTGGGGCTCACAGTAACAGTAGGTTTTAGGCAACAAAGCACGATGTGCTCCAAGCACAGCCTTCCCTACATGTGAAGGCTGCTGTCAGCGTTGGTCAAGGAGCTAAAGTGTTTATCCAACCATCAGAGGACAGCGTGGTCCCGGAAACTTACAGCACTCAACTCACTTTAAGCTCTTATCAGATTATTTTACCGAAAAAGTCAAAACCAGTCTCTTTGAGCATGATAAATGAAGGTCCAAAGTTTGAAGACAACAAATACTCGACTGTGAGTCCAGAACCAACGATCTAAAACAAACATACGTTTAGACACAGAGTAGGTTGGTTCCTAATTTCTTTTCTTTTTCTAAAGGACTCATTATACCTGAAGCGCAGACATTCCGCATGGAAAATGTGCCGCAGGTCACAGAGTCTGCAGCATTTATGCTCCGTACGGCTTTTCCTGTGTGTTCAGGCCAAACAGCAAGCTCACAACACCACAGGAGGAAGTAGAAAACACGGCTGTTTACAACTTTGTCAAAGCCTCTTCATGCCGTGTAGGAGCAGCAGTCCTTTCTTTCCTGGAGTTTTTCCACAATCTGTTTATTGTCGTGATAGTTATGAGCTAAAATTCGGGATGTCTCTAGATGTTTGCAGTTACGAATCGTCGCCAGCTGGAGCTGCTGCTTGCTCGCCATGTTTTTCGCGCAGGTCTGTCCGTGTAGTTACAAATATTCCAAGGATATCTGTGCGAAAATTCTGACCGCACGCAGTCCAGAGGGCTGAGAAAGTCCAAAATGACGTAATTTGGCTGTGAGGCCCTTACGGGCGGGTCACGCATAAACCAGGCTTAAGAGTCTGGTATGCATTAGTTTCAGAGTTTAGGTCTTTAAGGAAAGTTATGAAACATCCCTTCAAACTATGAAGTGAAATCCTGCCTCTCACCTCAGACGCCTGCTTGAAAGTTTTAATAAGTTCTTCTCGATTGATGAGATGCCAGAAAAGTACGACTGTCTACACCAACTTTTCACCACCTTCACTGTCATCAGAGCTGCAGGACGCCCTGCTCCATCATTGCTTTGATTCCACATTACAGGTTAGTTCTCTGTGTGCAGGCTGGACGAGTTCTGGTTGTCAGTAGCAACCTTGTACGCTGCACTCTCGAAAGCTGCAACACATGTGTTGTTTCCATCTGCATATCTGTGGTTTTAGGAGTAATGATACTTTGACAACCATAATAAGCATCTTACATTTCCAAAAAACTAAACAAAAGTCAGGTTATCTCTTGTTGAAGCCTGTTCCGTGGCTGAGTCATGTTGATTAAATGATTATTGATCTGATTACGTCGACAAAAATTAAATATTGATTCAGGTCATGATCCTAATGATAGAGCCAGTACTTTATAATGAAATTCCCAAAGAAAGACTTCAATAAAGAGGTTATCTATTATTTTTTATAATCATCATCAGAATTTTTTTACCATTAGATTATTTACTTTAAAGTCTTAGGGAAGCGGCTGTTCCAATCGTTTCATTTCCGAATTCTCCCAAGAGGGGTACGACTTTACAAGAGTGAATAAAGTGAATGTGATTGGTTGTTTATCAAGGGGGCGGGATTGTTGTGCTGGAAGGTTCACAAACAAGTTTGATTGTGGCCGGTTTCTTGGAAGGATCTTGCTAACCAGTTAGCAACTTAGTGCTAGCAGGTTCCCAATGGGAAATTCCATTGGGACCAAGTAGCACTAAGTTGCTAACCAGTTAGCATCTTAGTGCTAGCAGGTTCCCAATGGGAAATTCCATTGGGACTAAGTAGCACTAAAGTGGTGACTTAGAAACGTCGCTGTCAAGGAACGCTATGGACAGCGGAAACATGCAAGAGGAGGAGAGTTTAGTGTCGGAGGTCGTGGATGAGTCTCCTCCGTCGTCCATTTTTTATTTAGAGGAGGAAAGCGGGGACGAAGATGTTGTGGAAGAGGACGCCAGGGCGGCAGAAGCTTGGTTTGGTGTAGAAGGCTTCCAGCCGTACATGTTTGAGCCCTTGCCTCGCAACGCTGCCAGTTCTGTTAGCTCTACGCCTGCCGAAGACACAGACGTCCATCCCTGTGAACACTGGGACGCAACTCAATGGGAAAGGAAAGGATTCTGATTTCAACCGTTGCGTATATTAGCTGCGACACATGAATCAAGATGCTATGACCAAAAAAATTTGATTTACAGATGACCGTTGATATATGATTGGCCGAATTTAGGTGTTCAGGCTGTCGTATAACTTACTTGCCTGCAGAAGATGACGGGGAAAAAAACACATTTTTTAAATAGAAATTTTCTAAATTTTGGGACAATATCATCTGATAAAGAGTACATTTATATATATTTTCAAGCCAGAATGATTTGACATTTAAGTAAGATTTCCCTACAACTTTTAAAGCCTAATGCTTGTTTAACATTAGAAATAAAATGTTAGAAACATTTAAGTCTTTTGTTTTTGAGAAACAATTGTATTGGATTAGATTAGATGAGCTTTATTGATCTCACAGTGGAGAAATTCACTGGTCACATATTAAAGAAGGTGCAAACAAGGAGGAAAAAGGTGCATTAACAATATATAAATATACAGTATATCACCGTATATATATTGGATGGGTATAAATGTTTGCACCAGATCAACTGACTTCTGGAAATTCAACACAGATTGTATAATGAAAGAGTTTGGGATATTAGCAAACATCATGACATCACCCAAAAAAAAAAAAAGTAAACACATTTTAGCCTGGAGAGACTCGCATGGAGAAAAGGAGCCATACGATTGGTTGCAGGTGAGACTTCCAGAGCTTCATATCCTGATTAAAACTATGATATATTGATGTTTACATTAGGATTGTTGTGATGCAATATTTTCATTTCCAATAGTGCAGCTTTGAGTAATGGTGATAACAATATTGAACAATACAACATCAGCACATATCCTCCATACTTGCTTTGAATATCAGGAAAAAAATTCTTGATCAAGTCATATAACCTAAAAAGAGAACGAGTCAAAACAAAACTAACCCGTATTCTATTAAACAATGACTAACATGAACTTAAAGCTTAAACATAAGAATATTTTGCAGCTGAAAAAATATTGATAAAATGGAAAAAAACTTGTGCATGACAGGTTTCGCCCTCAGTTGATGTTTTTGCACTCTGAACGGATACAGGTGTTGATGGATAGAAATGCTGAAGCGGACGAAATGACGGCGAGGAATGCTGCTACCAGCTTTGTTGTATCAGAGACTTCAGATGCAGCCCAATTTAATCAGATCTCTGTTTGTTTTTGCAGATATCAGACTTATTTCAGGGCATTCCCAGTTTCCTTCAGTTGTTCCGTTTTCTTTAATCAGTGCATTCTCATCTAAGAGGCCTTTTGCAGTAGGACTAATACAATTAAATGCATCAGTTGAAACATGTTATTTGTATTTTTCTATGTTGCTAAGAGGAATCTGACAAAGCAGTTCAAAGGATTTAATACTCCTGCTTCGACATGCAGACATATCTGGTATCGGATTTGCAGGAGAGCCTGAGCGCGTTCTGCTCTCATTCCTAAATCAGGTCACCGTTATTGGATAAAAACAACAAAAAAAAGCCCCACAGACCACAAAGAAGAAATAACAGCGTTTAAAGATGATAAAAGTACAACAAAAAAAATCCCTACAAACCACAAACGTTTCAGGATGATGCTGGGTTAATCCTCTGCTGAACATCAAAGCATTTCTGTTCATCCGATCAGTTTTAAACTTCTTACTTCATGTTTTATTCCTTACTGTGATCACACTGCCTACTATATATTTTAATAAAAGAATGCAGCTCCTACTTAAATTAATTGTTTCAATTGGTAATTTAAATAAGTTTGCCTATTTATTTAGTTTATTTTATCAAGTTAGACCATTTAAAGTGGATTAAGTTGGGCAAACTTAATCTGATTTATTTAAGTTGGAGCTTTATTCTCTTTTTAGAGAGAATTACAAGCTGCAATACAAGGTTTAGGAAAGCAAGAAGTGAATAATGTGAAGTAAAGACTGGTTTCCCCTCCTTCCAGCCTCTGGGTTGAGAAACTGCATCACCACAGTCTTGTCAGAACAAGACATAAAGCTATTTCCTGAAAGTGTTTCAAAGTCTGTGGTTCCTTCACACTGATATGAAGCGAAACATGTTCAGTGATGAGATGATGTGCAGGAAACTGGGACTAAAGCAACCAAAGCAACACATGTGAGAAAAATTGGTCTGTTTATGAGTGACATCATTTAAATGCCCAGTGGCACCTTTAAAAAGGTGAAGTCCAGTTTTTATTTTATTTTTTCATCCTTTGCTATAAGAAGCTGCTTCTTTCTTTAGATTTAGGACTAATTTAACAGAAAGCAGCGACCATAGAAAACTAAACTCTTTAGTGAATGCTTTAATGAGCAACAAAGGAGAGGAATTACTAAATGTGACCCAAATATTTACGCAAGAGATGAAAAACAGATAAAATGCAGGAAATAAAGTATCTAATAAGGCGATTTGTTTAGTTTGTTTGATAAATGATTGACCTTATTTTTCTTTAGTGAGTCGTCAGCCCACCCAGCGGGGCGTTTCAGGTAAAGCTCACCTGGCCAAACCCACCGTGACCCTCACAGGTGACTTTCCGCGCTATAGAGGAGCCCTGAGTGGAGGAAAGTCCGCAGTAATGGTTCGGTTGTTACCTTTTAATGCCGCTCACAGAAGTTCCTGGATCACATAACGCCCGGACAGCATCGTGTTTTCAGCGGGGAGCAGAGCAGCGGCAGGTCAGACATCGACTGATCACACTTCCTCCTCCTCCTGCTGCGGTGCGTAAAGCGCGCGCCGCCGCAGCAGCGGCACCGAGCGCGAGCTGCTGTAGAAATAAAAGCACTTCCTGTGGCAGGATATTGATCCCTCACAGAGAAGACTTCTTCCTTTTTAGATCAGTGTAGTCGGATAAATCCATTTCCTTTACCTTTTTTTTTTTTTTTTTAAGAAAGTCAATTAAATTATTTTAAAAGTACCTTTTTATCATAAACTTATCTCTCAAATTTGTTTTTTTGTTTTACTTTCTTTGTTAATTTCAAAATAAATCCAGTTGGTATACCAATGACTGAAAGAATGAATAGGAATTAAATGAAACACAAATTTCCAAACCAACTAAATTCACTTGAACATAAATAGAAGCAAAACCCTCCACCAAATAAACCTGTGTGTATATTCAGCCAGAGAAAATACATCGATTATTGGAAATTGTCTGAAAAGGGGTATGAAGAATCCTGAGCCATCTTAAAAGTTAAGCTGCTATAGGCTAAGACTGCTGGAGGACATAGGGACCCCTATTTCATCATTTTGCTTCATTCTATCTCTATTCTCCCACTCTGCAGAATCTATTAGTTCAA